ATTATAAATGTTTTCATTGTATAAATAAAATTAATGTGATTTAAAATTCTAAAATCTAAATTTAAATTGTAATTCTTCAAGTAATAAAAAGTAATTAAAAAATTATTTATTCATATAACAATTTATTATAAAAATATTACTTTGCATTAATTGAATCACATTAAATAAAAAATGTTACAATTTATAAACTCGAAATAAAACTGTGTTAAACGAGAGTTGCTTATTACAATAAAATAATATAATATTATAAAATATTATAATTTATGAAAATAACTTACTAATATCAATGCCACCAATATTAAACGAAAAATTTAAAAAATATCCATATAATGCTATTTCCCATATTTCAGAATTCATAATTAAATTTGATTTTAAAAATAATAAATGCAAACATAAGTCTTTAACAAATTCTGCATTCAACTCAAAAAATATATTTCGTTCGGATTTCATTTCGTTGCTATTAATTATTTGTAAGAGTTTCGGAACTATATATCCATATATTGATAAATTTTTATCATTTGAAATAAATATAATATTCTCTAATTTTATTAATTTCTTTAATAAACAAACAATATCTTTTGATGTCAGTTGTAATATCTCTAACAAAGTAATAATCATATCAATATTATTTATTTTTTCATTTTTTTCTTTTTTATCTATCATTTTATATAGTTGTATTAGTAATTTATTTTTGAAATGGAAAAATAAATTTTTTATATTATATTCTTTAAATAAAGCAATTATTACATTACAAATATCAATAAGCATAAGAGTCATCATAGTTTTTAAAACGTTTTTTTGATAAAATGGAGAAAAATAATATAAAATAATAGGATGAGTAAAAATTGATTTTGCACATTCATCTAAAATAATATAACTATTTGAACTATTCTTTGCAATATGTAATAGTGATATTAAAAATATCTTATAATTATTACATTGCACTTTCGTTAAAACACCTCTTTTAGTAAGTTGAATTAAATAAAATATAGTCATTTTAAACGAATATATAATTTCATATGTTGATAAAGAATGATGAATTATTATATTCTCCTCATTATATTGAAAAGTAATCACATTGTTGCCGTTAAATATTTTATTTATTTGTAATTCAGTATCATTTAAAAATACTGAATTTAGTTTATATATTAAAGTCATAGAGGGAATATTTTCAAGATAAACAGGTTTATTGTTTTCTAACCAACTTAATAAATATTCTTTTACTGGTAATTTTTTAATATCTTTAGCTAAATGTATTAAACATTGAGGTATTACTTGATAATGCAACGTATGTACTAAAATATAAGACAAATAAGATAAAATTGAAGGATGTGACTCTTCTTTAGTCTTATGTAACATGCAACATAAAAGAGGTGATATTGATGTAAAATGTTGCATACGTAAAATATTATTTTCAAAATTATCATAAATAACAGATTTATTCATTAATTCTGCAAAAAACAAAGAAAAAATGATATGATTGCATTTAATATATAATTATATTAATATATTGAACTAACAAATTAAATTTTACCATCAAATATATTTTGAAATCTATCAATATGAACTGTTCCTTGATCAAAAATTTCTTCAGTTTTAATTATTTCATTTACATATTTTTCAATATCATTAACCGCTTCTTTTATAATACGAATAAACCATTTTATTACTTTCTTTCTATCATCTAAATTTATAAAACCATTAATCCAAATATTCAAATGATCATTACATTCTTCAAACATTCCTGTATTGTTTAATAAAGATCGGATTGTTGCTTTTATATTTAATGCAGTTGAAGATACTTCTTCATTTAAAATAGATATTAAGAATGATAATACATCATTAAATAATTTCTGGAAAGAATAAAATATTCTTATAAATATTTTATTTATAAATATAAAAAAACTTATAATCAATGATTTATAAATTATTTTACATACTTTATGCGGAAAAAACTCATAAGGATATAATATGACTAAAAAATGAATAGCTTTTACTTTTATAATATTGAATTCAATGACATTTATATCTTCCAATTTATTCAATATATTTAAAAATGTATCACATTGCATATTAGATATTATGTCTAATAATTTTGGACATATTTCATTATACATATGTAATAAATTTAAAATAGCTGTCAAATGTTCATATCTATTTGGTTCTATAATGTTTTCTTTGTTATTATTTTCAACTAAATTTGATATGAAAGTAGAATTCCATACATTAAATATCATATTTAAATTTGGTATATTCTGAAAAATATATATATATTATTTAATATTGTATAATTGTTATTTTTATGTTTAATGTTAATAAAATTAATTCAGAAAAAATTATTAACATTTAATTTATGTTTTTTAGAATTACATATACCTTTATTATGAACTCTGTTAAAAAATTTTTAAATGTACAAAAATCATCATTGTTTTTGTAAACCTTTTTTAAAATTGATAAATATTTTTGTAGCTGATTAAATATAGTAGTAAGTGTAAGTATTGCCTCATGTCGTATTATTATATTAGAATGAGACAAAGCTGGTACAATTGCTTGTTTCAAAATTACTACTGGTATAGTTAAAGATATTATTGCATTAGCTAATTGTAATACATTTAATTCTAATGAACATATTTTTTTACAAGTGTTTATATCCATTGACTGTATCATCTGTAATAACATTGACTCATATTAAAATTTAAAAAATAATATTAAAAGAATATTATATAATATATGAAAAAGAATATTATACAAAATATAATATATAATAATATATAAATAATATATAAATAATATATATATAAAATATATATAAATAATATATAAAGAATAAAAATTTAAATTACTTACTTCTCTTATAAATTTTATTGTTGCAATCCATTTCAATGATACTCTGGGTTCAAGATATGGTTCCAAAAGAACAAATTGAGATTTAATTAAATCTGGACATGCTGCCATTATTTTAATAACTAAATTTGATAGTTTTTCATATTCCCAAGGTCGATCTAAACTTTGAAGTACTATA